CTGAGGATGCTGATGCAGGACCATGGGCCAGACGCCCAGGGGTTGGGTCATTATTCTGAGGATGCTGATGCAGGACCATGGGCCAGACACCCAGGGGTTGGGTCATTATTCTGAGGATGCTGATGCAGGACCATGGGCCAGACGCCCAGGGGTTGGGTCATTATTCTGAGGATGCTGATTCAGACCATGGGCCAGACGCCCAGGGGTTGGGTCATTATTCTGAGGATGCTGACGCAGGACCATGGGCCAGACGCCCAGGGGTTGGGTCATTATTCTTCCTGTACTTCTGTAGATATAGTTCCATAAGAAGCTGTTTTTAAAACCTGACAGGACTTGTTTCATTTAAGTGGGTATTTCAAAGTTCATGGTTTCACACAAATTACAACTACAAAACAAAACAACTAAAAAAAGAAATCACCACTAGTCCCAAGTAATATTAATATCTCAGAGCGTTGAGGCTGGAGATAGCTCAGCAATGAAGCTATGTGAGTTTTTTCTTCTTCTTCTTCTTCTTCCTCTTCCTCTTCCTCTTCCTCTTCCTCTTCTTCTTCTTCTTCTTCTTCTTCTTCTTCTTCTTCTTCTTTCTCCTCCTCCTCCTCCTCCTCTTCTTCCTCTTCTTCCTCCTCTTCTTCTTTTTTTTTTTTAAGTATAAGCAATTTAAAAGGCTTTAATCCATGCCGTTACAGATTTCTTTGCTCCAGTGTCCCATGAGCCAGGTCCTAGAGCTAAGGTCACACTGTGTGCAGAGTGGTGTCGCACACAGCTGCACTCCACAAATGACACACAGCCAGGGAGGCCACAAACCCTCACACTCACCTGTAAATCAATGTGTTTTTTGTTGGACGCATTCTTTAAAAATTCTGTGAATTTGGGCCGGTGAGCGGGCTCAGCAGATGAAAGTGCTCGCTGCCAAGACTGGCAACCTGAGTTCTACCTCCATGACCCATTTGGTAGAAATAGACTCCTATAAGCTAACCTCTGACCTCCACACGTGTCCTGGAAAATACATGCTCCACACATGTGCGCGCGCGCACACACACACACACACACACACACTTACTTTAAAATTTTATAAGAATGTCAAAATATCCAACTATTGACTCTAGGAAACCATTAGCTGGTATTTACTCTTTCTAGGAACACGTGAGGATAAACTTTATATATTGAACTTCTTTTCAAAGAAAATAAGCATATCTTGGGGAAGTTAGGCATTGAAGAAGAGGAGAGAGAGCAGGAATGAGGGGGAAGGGTGTGAGGGAGAGAGGAGGGGAAAGAGAGGAGCAGGAATGAGGGGGAAGGGTGTGAGGGAGGGAAGGAGAAAGGGAGGCAGCAAAGGAAAAGGAAGAGGAGTTTGCTAAGCAGGATGGCTCAGGTCTGTAGTCCCAGTACCCAGGAGGTGGAGACAAAAGGATCACAAGCTGAAATCCTGTCTGGGCTACACAGTGAGACTTCATCTCAAAATAAAAGTTTTAAAAGGGTTGGCACTTTAATTCCAGCACTCAGGAGGCAGAGGCAGGCAGATTGGAGTTGGAAGCCAGGCTGGTCTATAGTGCGAGTTCATTGACAGTCAGGGCTACACAGAGAAACCCTGCCTCAAAAAGCAAAATAAATCACAAAGAGTGTTGTAGACGCAGCACAGAAGCACAGACTAGCCTGGCCTAAACATGGCTTCAATCCCCGAAGTGCAAAAGCAAAGCAGAACAACACCCCCACACAACAACCAGCCTCAGCATCCCTGCTGCCTCCTCCTCAGCTTCCACAGTGGTACTGACTTATCTTTCACAGAAAAAGAGGTGACCTTTTTCAATAATTACACCAACCTAGCCATCTTCCATCTTTGCAAACACATGTTCCATTGCATCTGATCATATGAAACCACACTGGTACCCTGTGTTTCTGTACTGTTCAGACTCCCACTCAGTCGGATAACCATGGAGACTGCTTATTGATGGTAACTGAGCAGATATTAGCTTTTGTCCGTGCAAAAGAATAAAACGAAAATAAACTCATATTAAGTGTAATTACACTCCTCTTTTTTCCAGCTTCCTTTGGGTGCTCACTCTGCCTTCTACAGAGTATCCTAACTCCAAACCTATAATCTCAGTAGGGGAGCCAGCCCAGTCATTCACATCTTTGGGCTTCACTTCCTATAAGATTCTAAGAATTAAAAAAAAAAGACTTATAAAGATGGGGGGTGTTATTCAAAGTGTAAAATGTGGAAAGCTAGGCCCTTCCCCCTCTTTACTACACCCAGAACAGTAAAAACCAAAGGGGGACCTAATTAGTAAAAAACGCATTCAAACATGATTAATTGGTAATCTTGGCAGCAGCTGTCTAGAACCAAATGCTGTCCTTTATTAGACAGACACTCGCAAGTTTTACATCTGCTTCATGCTAGGGGAACATCTGCTCCACTCACACGCTTTCCCAGTTCTGCAGCAATTTATACTTTGTCTGGTGGTGTGTGCCAGGGAAAATGCACATCGGTAGAAGCTGCCCGCTGCAGAGCGCAGGGTGTTCACCTGCGAGGGTCTGCGGAGGGACAGCATTGGTGAAAGAATAAGAACGTGTCTGAAAATAATGACCAGAAAGAAAGAATAGACAGATGAACGAAATTGTTATTTTTTATTTGTGTGTATGTGCGCGCACACACGTGCAAGCACAAAAACCCGTAGAGCCAGCAGAGGGTGTCGGTCCTCTGGATGCTAGAGTTCCAGGCAGTTCTGAGCAGACATATGGGTGCTAGAAACCGAATTCAGGTCCTCTAGGAGAGCAGCCAGTACTCTTAACCTCCAACCCGTCTCTCTAGACCTGAGAACTATAGTTTTAAAGATCTGTTTAAAAACACTGCGGTAGTAGCTTCCATAGCCATTTAAGTACTCAAAGGGGAAATCACAGCTCTGCTGGCCATGCCCGGAAGGTTATCAGGCCCTTCAAGACGAATGGCACTCAATTCAGGAACACATCAAGCTCAATTTTAAAAATCTCATATCAGTAACTTCTGTGGATGAAAACTGATCCCTCCCTATCCCCCAATAATTAGGCTGCCGGGAACGGAGAAGCCAACGACCCATTAACTCTCCAAAATGCTGTTTCAGAGTTAGGCTAACAAATCATCTCACCGAGATACCGCGAGTTCAAGGGAAGACAGCTGTGCAGAAAGCCCGCACTGGGAACCATGCCCTTGGCAAACATATTTACGGCACGTACATGGTTTATTGTCTGGTTAAATTCACATCCATCTGTTAGGACGTTAGGATTCCTGCCCCAGAGTTGATTAAAGCTGTGACACGCGACAGCTGACAAGCAGCGTTGGTGAGAAGGTTAAGTCTTGCAGGCTCTCCCAGCTCGCACTGGGCCTGCCCGGAAGCCATCAGCATCTGCAGATTAACCCCGGTTATTCCAGAGACACCTCGCTTTGAAGAAGTATGCAAATCCTGCAGCAAGAAACCTAGAAAGGCTTGCGGGTGAACCAGAAGCTCGGGGAAAGGGACTAGGAAGAAGCCAGGAGAGCCGAACACATCTAGAGTGGGTGGGACCAAAGAGAGATCTAAGAATCCAGACCTAGGCCCAAAAGAACAAGAGGAGTGTGAGGAGAGCAAAGGAAAAGGCTCGTGACAGCTCACAGGGTAGGTCCAGTTCCTGGGGATCCAGTCTTGCCCTCTGACTTCCTCAGGTATGCATACAGCTCACATACATAATGCAGGCAAAACACTCACACACGTAAAATATATAAATCTAAAAATAAAAAAATTTAAAGTAGCTGGGTGTGGGAGTGCACGCCTTTAATCCCAGCACTTACACTTAAGGGGCTAAGGCATCTGTGAGTTCCTGGTTTGTGTAGTGAGTTGCAAGCTATACAGGTCTATATAGTTGTCTCAATAATAATGATGATGATGATGATGATGATGATGATAAAAAACAGAGATGTGAAGAGGTACCTGAGCAGAGATCAGGAGGTAACCGTGGGCCAGTAGATAACTGAGGGAAGGGTCTGCCAATCATACAGAAGCCATATAGAACCACGCACGAGTACCAGGAATAGCCAGGAAGGCATAGCAGCCCGAGTGCACATGGGGGTACAGGAAGAGTAGGTACAAAGGATAGGAAGCAGGTACGTGAGGGGCCACTTCTGCTCCATAGGTGACTCAGACTCTGGACCTGCACTCGAGAGCTAGGAGGGGTGAAGTGTGCAGAGGGGAGTCAGAAGTCTGTTTTTAATACTTAGCAGGCTTGAAAAGCATGGGTGATTTATATTTTATTTTGAGACAGAGTCTCACTAGGTAGCCCAGGCTGGCTGGCACTGAGCTGATCTTTATGCTTCTAACTCATGCTAGGATTACAGACATATACCACCATATTTAGACACCACACACACACCCTTATATAATACATATGCATTATATATTTGACAATTTTCTTTATGTGTATATGTGTCTGTTTGAGTGTTCCCACAGTGGTCAGAAGAAGGTGTTAGATCCCAAGGAGCTGGAATTACAGTAATTACTTTTAACCACTAAGGTATCTCTCCAGTCCCTTGGGTTTATATTTTAAAAGGCTTAAAAAAAAAAAACCTACAGAATTCAAAAGGGGCCCAACTGGACCACTGGGTGAACTAAGACAGGCTCACACGCAGGATCTAGACATACAGCAGACATACGTGAGACAGGAAGTAGAAGGG